TGAGATTAAATCCGGTAATGTTGTTCTTTCCGCTGGTTTTAGAACACCACAGGTTTATTGGACTATGCAGAAGGATAATCGGAAGACAGTTGATAAGGATGGCGATGTTGTGGTTTCGGCGAATCTCAGTGATAATTCTTGGAGATTTTATGATGAGAAGAAGTCTTTGTTGTGGCAGTTTATTTTCTCTGCTGATGCAGGTGTTAATGCGACATGGATTGCTGTTTTGGGATGGGATGGTGTTATTAGTTTCAAGAATCTCAACAGTGGTGGATCGAACGGTGATTCTTCGACGAAGATACCGCAGGATCCCTGTGGTACACCGGAGCCTTGTGATCCTTACAGTATATGCACGGATAATCAAAGTCGCAGGTGTAGCTGTCTTTCTGTTGTTCCGAGTTGTAAACCTGGTTTTGTTTCTCCTTGTGATGATGGTAAATCTGAAAAATCTATTGAACTTCTGAAAGGTGATGATGGGATTAGTTACTTTGCTCTTGATTATCTTCAGCCGTTTTCCAAAACTGATTTGGCTGGCTGTCAAACTTCGTGCCGTGGAAATTGCTCCTGTCTTGCAATGTTCTTTCATAAGAGTTCAGGAAACTGTTTCCTGTTGGAAAGTGTAGGAAGTTTTCAGAAATCTGATAATGGTGATTCTGGTTATATTTCATACATTAAGGTATCGAGTGAAGGAGGCGAAAAAGGAAGTGGAGTCAAACCTACACACATCATTGTTATTGTTGTTATTGTCATATTAACTTTGTTTGTGATTTCTGCTATGATCTGTGTTGGGGTTAGATACTACAGGAAAAAGAAAAGGTTACCTGAATCTCCGGGGGAGAATTCAGAAGAGGACAATTTCTTAGAGAATTTAACCGGTATGCCGATCCGTTACCGATACAAAGATCTCGAAGTTGCAACTAATAACTTCTCAGTGAAGCTCGGTCAAGGAGGTTTTGGTTCAGTTTATAAAGGAGTTCTACCCGACGGAACCCAATTAGCCGTGAAACAATTGGAAGGTATCGGTCAAGGTAAGAAAGAGTTCAGAGCCGAAGTTAGCATCATCGGAAGCATTCATCATCTTAATTTGGTAAGGCTTAAAGGATTTTGCGCAGACGGAACTCACAGGCTTTTAGTTTACGAGTATATGGCTAATAACTCGTTGGATAAATGGATATTCAAGAAGAAAAAAGGCGAGTTTCTTTTGGATTGGGATACAAGGTATAACATCGCAGTAGGAACAGCGAAAGGACTAGCTTATCTGCACGAAGATTGCGACTCAAAGATTGTTCATTGTGACATCAAACCAGAAAACGTACTTCTCGACGATCATTTCATGGCTAAAGTATCTGATTTCGGTTTAGCCAAGCTCATGAACCGAGAACAAAGCCATGTCTTCACAACACTAAGAGGAACACGCGGCTACCTCGCACCAGAATGGATAACAAACTACGCTATATCAGAGAAAAGTGATGTATACAGCTACGGAATGGTCTTGCTAGAGATTATCGGGGGAAGGAAAAACTACGATACTAACGAGAGTTCGGAGAAAAACTATTTCCCGAGTTTCGCTTTCAAGATGATGGAAGAAGGGAAAATGAGAGATATACTTGACTCTGAGCTGAAAATTGATGAGCATGATGATAGGGTGCATTGTGCTATAAGGGTTGCATTGTGGTGCATACAAGAAGACATGTCAATGAGACCATCAATGACAAAGGTTGTTCAAATGTTGGAAGGTCTTTGTACTGTTCCGAAACCACCAACTAGTTCTTATTTGGGTTCTAGACTTTATTCAACTGTGTTTAAATCATCTAGTGAAGGAGGAAATTCTTCTGGTCCATCAGATTGTAATAGTGATGCTTATCTATCAGCAGTTCGTCTTTCTGGTCCAAGATAACAGTAAGAATAATTCTATGTATTTTCTTTTCTTTCTTTTTTTGGTGTTATAATGTTATATATGGAGAAAATTGATATGTAAATCCTGAGCTATTCAGTCTTTTCTTTTGTCTTGGTTACTCTTTTATAGGGCTTTTATGTTTGTATGTTGTAAAATCTCCCGCATTAAAATTTGGTTAGAAAGATTTGTAAAAATGATTTTTATTAGATGGTTAAAAAAAATTAAATTGATTTCTAAATTAAATTTAATTATTTAAAATTTATGGTTCAATTCATAATCTATTAAATGATTAATTAAAATTTCATACAGTGCAACGTTAAGTCAATTCAGTTGATAGTTGTATAGAGACATTTAATATAAATGTGCGAGTTTGAACCTGCAACTTTCCACTTGTATTAGATATGATTTTTCATTTTGTTGAACACACTAAAAAATGTAAATATTGTTAAAACTAAAAAATTACTTATTATTTTTTTTAAAGCATGTTGGATAACTTGAATTACAAGTTATTTGTACATTGAAGAAATAGAAAAAAATAATGATCAATCCAAAGAGAATTATTATTGAAATGAAATTAAGTATATTAGAAAGATGTGTTATATTATTTATATAGCATTAAACTATTGACTAACAAATTAACTTCTAGTTATAAATCGCATACAACAACAACAGTAACTACATGTATAATTATCATAAATTCATGTATGTCTATAAGTAATTACATGTATCACTATTAATAACCACATGGATAATTAGTTTCTAACTTTTAAAACTGAATAGAATATTTAATACCATTTCTAACTTAAATTTATTGGGTTCATCATTTCCATTAATCAATCCTTTTAGACCTTCAAATCTCTTTTTCTTCAAGGATTTTGTAAAATGACAGCAAATTGCAATTCAACCTTGTAATACTCAATTCTCAACATCTCTTTACTAAATTGGTCCGTAAAAATGATATCTTTTTTATGTGCTTGCTGATACCATGTCTCATAAGAAGATTTGTTAAATTAATTGTTGATTGATTGTCCACTAGCAACTTGATTTGCTCACTGTTGCTAACATTCAATTCTTCAAGCAACATCTCTAACCAAAGTGTTTGACATGCAACATAAAAGGCTGCAACATACTCTGTCTCACATGAAGACAATGTCACAATTTCTTGCTTCTTTGAACTCCATGAGACTGGTGTTAATCCAAGTATGAACAAGTAACCAAATCTAGTATTTTTATCATCTTGATCACCACTCCAATCAGAATCATAATAACCATACATTTTGACTTCCTTTCTTGTGTTTTGTTAATTTGGCATGAGAACTCCATAGTAAGTTGTACCTCTAATGTACCTCATAGTCATCTTTGCTGCAAGTAGATGACATAACATTTACTTCTTCATGAATCTTCTAACCAATCTCATAATGTGATAAATATCAAGCCTTGTATTGCAAAGATACCTCAATGAGCCACTGCTTTGCTTTTACAAAGTGTTATCCATCAGTTCATCATCTGACTCCCTCTTCAATTTGATATTGGTCTCCATAGATGTGTTTGTAGGATTGTAATTGCTCATTTTGAATTTAAAGATGTCTTCTGCATATTTCTTCTAATGCAAGAAAACTAACTATATGCCTTTTGTTTTCATTCATAGGAAGTAAGGCGGATTTTCTAAGTTTGACATCTCAAACTTATTCTGCATGCTTGCCTTAAACTTTGCAAGTTCACCTCAATTAGAAACTGTGACCAATAGATCACCCAAATAGAGACATAAAATGACTTGGTCTTGTACACTTGAGCCTTTTAACTACACTTTATGTTCTGATGTGCATTTGTTGAAACCTAGTTTGATCAAGAAGCTATCAATCCTTTTGTTCCATACCTTAGGTGCTTGCTTTAATCCATACAAAGTTTTTCTCAACATGTACACCATTTTCTCTAGCCCTCTCACCTCAAAAACCTCAAAAGCAGGTGGCTACTTCACATAAACTTCTTCTTTTAGGGGTCAATTGAAAAAGGCTAAATTTACACCTAATTGGTGCGTATTCCAATCTCTATATGTTGCAATGGCTACAACCAGTCTTATAATTTCAAGTCTAGAAACTGCTGCATAGACTTCACTGAAATCAATGACGGGATTTTGAAGAAATTCTTTTCCACCAATCTTTTCGTATGCTTGACAATTTCACCATTTGGCTTCAACTTCAACTTGTAAACCCACATAACATCTATTGCCTTCTTACTTGGATAATTGACCAGTTCCCGGGTCTTGTTCTTTTCAATGGCCTTGATTTCTTCATTCATTGCATCTTGCCAATTCCTCATCTTTCATGGCTTGAACATGATCTATTTGCTCATATTTTTTCATTATAGTTTCTTCAATTAAGTCACCATTTTCTCTTACGATCAGGGATGACAATAGACAAGGTTTTGCTATATATATATATATATATATATATATATATATATATATATATATATATATATATATATATATATATATATATATATATATATATATATATATATATATATATATATATATATATATATATATATATATATATATATATATATATATAATTTCTAACTTTTAAAACTAAAATACATATGTAATACTTCTTTTTGTCTCATAATAGGTGTTATCCCACACTTTATAAGATAATGATTAATTGTGTTGATTTCAATAATTAAATGAGTATTATTTATTAAAATAACTTTATTAATAATAGATAATAAAGTAGTTATATAAATTAAAATATAATAAATAAAGATAAATTGATAAAAATAATATTGATATTTAAAAAAACAAATAATTTAAGATAAATTAAAAAAAAAAAAAAAAACACCTATTATAAAACTAGCGTGTCTAAAGTATTACCTAAAAGAAACCATTTGTAGCAAAAGTTCAACCAATTATTGAGTGTGCATTAAGAGATGGTACCCACTCTAGGGTGCAACCCCATATAGGTAAGAAATTATAATTCTCTTATTTAGTGGCAAAAGTAGAATTAAAAATTAAAAAAAAAAAAAAAAAAAGGTGTTGGCGGCTTTTGAAGAGTTAGATATAATATCCTAAAAAATAAAATAAAACAAACAGATAGAGATAATGCGTTCTAGTGTCACTAACCGTATTGTGCATTGCTCAATCGCTACCGCACCAGGCGGTGAAACTAATTCTCCCGCCAAATCACAACCACCGTCTTTCTCAACGGTTACGTTTCGCTCCGATAGGTCCAACGACCATGCTTCTTCAGGTGAGTGAGGCCAATTTGTACCTCCTAATCCGTTGAATAGGGTTATTTACAATTTATACTTATGATTATGATGCAGAAGTTTCGAGTAGTAGGAGAGGCGTAATATGCAGCATAGCCATGTTGCCGTGTCTTCTTCCACTAACTCACATCTTTGGTTCTCTCCGAGCCAATGCCATGCCACCGTAAGTAGCGAGTCCTATTCTTTATTTTTTATAAATTAAATAACTTCATAGCTTCAATAAAAAATTTCTATATTGCATTGCTTTGTTTTTCTCCCTAATGAAGACCAGGTGGAGATGAATATGTTCGAATTAAACAAGAGTTGAGGAAGGTATTGTCAAAGGGAAAGGCCGCCGGTGTGCTTCGTTTGGTTTTCCATGACGCCGGAACTTTTGAAATTGATGACAATACAGGTATGGTATTCATCTCAGCTGAAATTTAATAGTTCACTTGATTTCTTGATCACTTAATTTAGCATTGAGCACTAGGCCCTAAACTAGATTTGAGACACTGGACTTTTGTTGTGCATTCTGTTAGAGTTAGTTGCATTTGTTATTATATTTGGTTATAGGTTGTTATTATTTAGTTAAGATTTGTTAGTTGGTCATGATCACTATATAAAGTGTATCATGTATTTATTGTACTAATCATTTTATCGTTGAATCCATTTTGTTAAGAGTCCCACATTGGACAATCTATGACCTGAACATGTTTTTATAAGTGGAGGCAATCTTCATCCTGCAAGCCAGTTTTGTGGGATTGTGTTAGACCCAACCACACATTCTTAAGACATGTCATAGAGATTCGACAAAGTTTTATGTTGGCTGTCGACAGCCTAACGCAACCCTCCCCTTCTTTTATTACTTGATAGAACATTATGGCGAAAATTGATCTATTTAGCCGACCCCACTTAGTGAGGTAAGACTTAGTTGTTGTTAGTTAGGCTCAACCATGCTTCTCTACACTTTCTTGGTAGTTGTTTCATCATCAGCGATAAGTGAATTTCAACAAAAAAAATGTTTAACTTAAAAAAGTTTGCCTTTTCATGGTGTTGCAGGTGGCATGAATGGCTCTATAGTCTACGAACTTGAAAGGCCTGAAAATGCTGGTCTGAAAAAATCAGTAAAGGCATGCTCTGTCTCACTATTTTCTCAGACCCCTTCTTTTATTACTTGAATGGTTCTACATGATTGTACGACTCTTTCAATTTATCGATCAAGTTAGATATCTTATATTTTATCTGCCAGGCCAAACTAATGACTAGTGGACTTATCACATGTTCTTTAGGTTCTGCAGAAAGCAAAGACTCAGATAGATACGATCCATCCAGGTCCTTGTTTTCTCTGGTAATTGCTGCTAATAGTAAGTGTTGATTTGGTCTTGATCAACAAATTTTAGTTTACCTTTGTTAGTATCCTGGGCGGACGTTATTGCTGTGGCTGGAGCTGAAGCAATTGAAGTATGTGGTGGTCCTACTATCCAAGTTTCGCTCGGCAGACAAGATTCGCTGTAAGGATGACAAACAACAAGTTATATGTTAGGTTCTCTGAGAATATTATTTAATCTATTTTTGAATTATGTTCATGCTGTTTTTTAAAGAATGACCGACCTTTTTGCTGAAGAACTAGAAAGAAACAGCTTCATGTAGATTTAACTCATTTGTTGTTGTTACATGATAAAGACCTGGTTTTGTCTTCTGTCTATGATATTTTCAATCATTTTAATGGTAGGGGGCCTGATCCTGAAGGGAAACTTCCTGAAGAAACCCTTGATGCTTCTGGTTTGAAAAGATGCTTCCAGAAAAAAGGCTTTTCGTGAGTATGAGATAAAATCCCCTTTACTTTTCATTGTGTTGTGCATGGATGATTGTTTTCCTGAAATCTCCATTGAGTGGACAAAATTATTGTTTATTTAATACTTAATATTTTTTTGCAACTATACATTCTGTAGCATTATTGTAGCATTATAGCATTGGCCATAACATAACATGCAACTATAAAATTAAAAGCCGTTTGATTGCGAATTGGCCATAACATAACATGCAATATTGTAGCATTATAGAGACTTACTGGATTTGATATTTATCTTGATCGTAGTTCAAAACCAAGGCTACAAGGGTGGAAATATAATGATTTACTGAACAAAATTATTGACAGGGCTAATATTTGTCTTTGGGAGAAAATCTTCAGCATATTGCACCAGAATTCATTTTGCTCATTCTTGTTGTTATCCATTTGGAACTTTTCTTTCACAGAACACAGGAACTGGTAGCTTTGTCTGGAGCTCACACCCTTGGAAGTAAAGGTTTTGGAAGCCCTACTTCTTTTGACAATTCATATTATAAGGTTCTCTTGGAAAAGCCACAGACGCCTTCGGGTAAAGTAACAACTTATCTCTTTTAAAAGTTTAATTTGTCGAACATATTTAAATTTATTAGCTTTTTCTTGTCATTTTTTGAAATTAATGATGTTTTTGTTCTCATCTACAGGCGGTATGTCAACTATGATTGGTCTTCCTTCAGACCACGCACTTGTTGAGGATGATGAATGCTTAAGGTTCTTTATCGTTTAACAAGCACTTATATTACGTTTAAATAATATTGACCCACTTGCATGTGACGATTATAGTTCTGCTTATTTCTTTTCTTACCTCAACGTGCATTACTTACAAGAACTTCATTTATCGAACAGATGGATTAAAAAGTATTCTGACAATGAGAATATGTTCTTTGAAGATTTCAAAAATGCGTATGTCAAGCTGGTGAATTCTGGTGTAAGGTGGAATAGCTTATAATTCAGGAGTTGAAAGTTCCAACTTACATTCAAGGGACACCTTGTTTATTAGTACTATTCTGGGAGCTGTATTAAAATTTTGATTATCAAGATGTACTCCCCAGAAAAATTAAACAAAGTGTTTACATGCAGGGTCATTAAATCCGTGCACCAAAGTGTTTAAATTTGTTGGTTTGGGTGGACATTCTTCGGTCTTCTAATACTTTGGTTCAAAACCAGCATACAAATACAAAGAAGCAAGAAAACATTATCATTACACCCCCATTTTAAAATTAAGATTAGTTTAAATTTTATTATACTCTTTTCCTGTGAAACTGTGCTTGCCTTAAACTAAATATCTAGCATCTAACTAAGAATATTTTTTGCAAAAGTATTTCAAGAAACAACTGCAATAATTCGCTAACAATATGTATCCACAAATCCTTGGAAAGTGTCTTTCCCTTGAGTTGCTCGTGTGTAAAACTGTCGATCCATTCAAATATCTAACATCCACTTCAAAGTTTTTCAATGCATTCGGTCCAGATTTACTATAAATCGACTTATTTTGCAAAATGTTTATGCTAAATTTGGTCTACTACAAACTATTTCATACATGATTCAAACTCCCTCTTGTATTGAGAGTATCCTCCATCTTCTTCTTATCCTTAGTTGAAGACGGCAAATGACCACAAACTTAGTGTAAATGTGATGATTCAAAAGAGTGTTGATAGATTTAGTTTCAAATATTCTAAATCAATCTGCAATTATTTTACTTTGTCATCGGTCTTGCTTTATATATTAGTTCTTCAATCGTCAGAACACTTTTCTTTTTGAAGATCACTTGCAACCAACCATATGTTTTGTCTCAGATAGTTTTACAAGTTTTCAAGTAAGGTTATTCTTTGATGAATGCATTTTCTCATTCACCGCCTTCGATCATTTTTAACTTTTTTGCTTAAAAATGCTTCCTTAAGGTTTTTGGTTCTGAGTCTTGCAACCCTTCACTCACTTTTAAAGCATATCAAATAAAATCACCATAATAGAAAAGTTTGATGTGTTAATATGGATCCTGTCTATTTATATACTTCTTTTGATTTTCTTCAACTGAGACTCTTCCTTTTAAGTATGGACTTCCTGTTGGAGTTATTCTTAGCGGAGAGGTGACTTAGGCTATTTATATATTTCTTGTTATTTTCTTCATTGTAGAATTGAGATTCTTTCTTTTAAGTATCTAGGGCTTCCTGTTGGAGCTATTCCTAGCGAAGAAGTGACTTAGGATCTCATTGTTAACCTACTTGCTTAGAGGCTTAATTCTTGGAAACATGTGTTTGTTAGTTTGGGTGGTTGGATGGTTTTACTTAATTTTGTGTTTAATGGTATCCATGTCTTCTTCTTGTCTTATTTGCAAATACCTGTAAAGGTATGTAGGAAAATAGTTTAGATACAAAGAAGGTTCTTATGAGGAGGTGTCAAGGGAGGTTCTAAAACCTCTTGAGTTAGTTGGGCTAATATGCCCAAACCAAATAGTAAAGGTGGTTTTGGGGTTAGATATTTTTGTCTGATAAATTTATCTCTTTTGGCAAAGTAGAGGTGACATCTTATATCAGATACTTTTGGTCTTTGGAGAGATGACCTTATTTCCCGTTAGAATGACTCTTTTGTCTCTCCTTTAAGGAATGGTGGAGATTCTGGTTTTTAGAACTCCTCTTGGTGAAAAGGTGTAACACGGTGAGAGAACTGACTTGGTGTTTTTGTTTGACAAAAACATGTGCGAATAGTAAGAGTCGCCACCGACTTTTATTTTATCCAATAGGAAAGGCTATAAAAGAACAGGAAAGACCTTTTTGAAAAGATTTTGAGTTCGGGGGGTAGGTTATATAAAGGGAAGGTGTTAGCACTTTTTATATTCATGGTTATCCATGAGCTCTTAGTTACTTAGCTCACTTGTTTGTTTGAAAAGTAATGTGAAGTGTATGTTTAGAAAAGATTTTCAGATGTTCTTTGTAGTGATCCTCGTATGGATGTATACAAAGCCTTGAGTTTGGAAATATTTTGAAAGTGAGGTGTAAAGAATGTTTTTTGAAAAAAAGTGAGCAAGTATTTAAGTGTTACCTACCCTAAGTTTGTAAGGTCTTTCTTGTTATTTATTTTCTTTAAGGGTAAGACTGTCCTTACTATTAGTGAGTAAGTAGTTTTTACCTTGGATGTTAAGGGACAGGCGTAGGGTCATCGTATGGTCAAAGAAGGCAACATGTAGGGGTGTCTTAGTAATTCGAAGGGACTATCATCATTTTTGTAGGGTCATCGAGGGACAAGATCATTTATTCCGTAGGCAACTTCGAATGAACTATGATCCTTTTAACTTTAAAGGGACTTGATGATTTATCTGTTTGCAGGGACATCACTTAAGACACCCCTACGTTCGAGTGACTTGACCATATTAAGGCAATTAAGAGGGGTAACCCTAGGAGGTGTAGATGGCAATCGTAGAACGATCGACTTACGTGTGTGAGTGATTATTTTCAGATATTTCTTTTATTATTGATTCTCTAAGTCTAATTTATTCAATTAGATCTTTTCACGCCCTGAATTACTAACCAAGCAATTAAATATTTACGGAAATAATAAAAAAAACAAGAAATAGAGTCCTAAACTATTACACGGCTTCGGGGCAATTACAGAATAATCGGTGCGAAAAAATAAATTACATAAGAAAAATCCTATACAATCTTCTAAATAATACAAATAAAGCAATAAAAATAAATTAAGTTAGGAAATTAATTGTTTTAAAAAAAAAGATCAAGTTTAAAAAATGAGGACCTAATTAGGGTTAGTGAAAAATTAGGTTTTTTAAATTAATCTAAACCTAGTTATATTCATTTACAATTTTAATTAATAAATAAATAAAAAATTATGTGAGAGAAAAAAAAATATAAAATTATATTATAAAATTTATTTTAAGAAAAATAATTAGTGAGCAGTTAGTAAAGATTAATGGTTAATTAAATTAATAATAATGTTTTAACAATAATAATTATAAAACATTAAAAAAAAAAAGAAGGAAGAAATTCACTAAAAATAAATGGAGAAAGACCTGAAAATGTTCGTACGAAGAGTTTCGACTCTTGAAAAGCTTATGCCTTAACCATGGCACTTCTTGAAATCTGCATCATATCTTGCAAACAAATGATCAAAACAAACCTAAACATGATTATGAAGATCATTATGAACAGAAAATATGATAAAGTGCAATGAAATCAAAGATTAGAAAGCAAAAAAAAAAATGAATGAGAGGCGGCATGTTCATGGGATGCACTTCGTGAGGTCTCAACCTTCAAGTCTTTGTGGGATAGGTTCCTAGGATCTTGAGGAATGTGAATGGACTTGTAGAACTGATTGAATCTTATTGCAAAGCTGTTTTAAGATTTTTCTAAGGTTCTTATGGCTTCCAAAAAAATTTTTTCTCTCCTCTCCTTTTTCATTCTGACTTTGTTGTGTATATAAAGTAGTGTAAATTAGGGTAAACAATTGGGCCTTGGTTGGAGTTTTATGGGTTGCTTGAAGAAGAATGAGTCAATTATCATAATTGTCAAAAAAATCAAATTAAATCATATCATATTGGTTTTGAACGAATTTGGATGACTTTAATCACTTTGAATACCATATATTTGATCCCAAAATAAATCTTAAATCAAATCTTTGATTTTTTATAATTTATTTTAATTAAAAATGATTTTAAATGATAAAAATAAAAAATAATATAAAATAAATGATAGAAATCAGAAAATATGGTCATTGGGTCGTGAATGACTCTATCTTCAAGTTTGGGTTGCAATCTTATGGGCCCATTTGGAAAGAATTGGAGTTATGGCCCTTTTTACTTCATACACCCCTTGAAAAATTACCAACTTTGACAATGCATAACTTCCTCAATTTTAATGTTATGGAGGTGTTCTAAGACTTTTTAGAAATATTAGGGTATTCTCTAATCAACCCTTTTGGTCCCATGTCCATATTTTTTTACCATTTTCAAATTATGAGCTTTGGAAAAAGTTAACTTTCAAAAGGACCTATAATGTCTTGGCTCATATCTTTCAAATGAAGCATTTTTAGGCTTGGCTTGTGAGACACAAAGTTGTAGAGAATTAAACTTCCTTCAAAATGAGATTTGGACGGGAAATGTTTTATGAAACATGTGGAAGTTATGGCTGGTCAAAGTTCAGTTGACTTTTCCTACACAAAACCCTAATTTAGCAACTTCTGATTCTTGATGATCTGAGGTTTCCCTGATGAATCATGATCGACCCTTGACCAAATGATAAATTTCACCTTGTAATCTTGATGTTGACCAAAAAATCTTGAAGTTTGACTTTGAGTTGACCACAGTTGTCCTCAGTTTACTTTTTAACCAAGTTAACTGATTTTCAGGTATCTGAGCATCTGACTAGCCAAACTTGTGAGGAAAGCTCTGAAACTTGACATGGGGATTTCTTTGAAGTATGTGGGATGTTATGAAGTCCATTTTAAGTTTTAGAAGTCCATTTTGCTCTGGGAAACTCAAAACCCTAGTTCTAAGATCCACTGTTCAGGAGAAGGCTTTGATGAAACCTTCAATCCCTTTGTCCAATTGCGACTCTTGTGACTATTAAGTAACCTCTTGGGACATATTGTCTTGAATATGGGAGGGTAAATTTTGGGGTACAACAAAAGGAATTTATCTTTTTTGGCTCTAAGCAGGAAGATCTTTCAGAATAGTTTGTGGATATTACCATTAGGAATGTCGAATTTAGGTTTCAAACATCTTTTTGGTTTGACCATTGGATTGAAAGTATACCTCTTAAGGATAAGTTCTTTATGTTTGTGTATAATCACATACTATCATGTGGGGAATGTTGGTCAAGGTTGTAGGTGGGTTAGTGATACCTCATTTTGAGAGACAACCCTTCATCATGCTTTACCTGATTCACCCACTGTCTTCCAGCGAGAATTTCTTTTGGAAAACCATGTCACAACTTTGGTTTA